CAATGTAGGAAACCGATCCGGCGTGACGCAGCTGACACAGAACAGCATACGTTGTTGCAGGGTGATGCGCAGGAGACGATTTGTTGAATAAAGTTTTTTTCTTTCGTGCACAAAGTATTCTCGTAGCTTCGTATAATTGCGGATGAACCACTGATGTCACATGGATTATTTTACCCATCTCCTTGCTACGTTTCTGGACTTGGGAACATTTCAGTTGCGTTGCTGTCTATGCAGGGTCAGACAGCTCTCAGATTCCATCAAAAATATCTTAATTTGTGTTCCGAAGATGAACGAAGGTCTTACGGGTTTGAAACGACATGAGGGTGAGTAATTAATGACAGAATTTTCATTTTTGGGTTAACTATCCCTTTAACCTTACATTTTAACACCTCTTTTTTTTTTACAAAGCAGATCATAGATCATATATTTTGTCTATAGCCTTTAACAGCTTCATAAATAGGAAGATTTCAATACATGAGGATTCTGAATGAGATTTTTTTAGCAAGCCATTAAATGACTTGAGACTCGACTCGTGACCAAAGACTCGACTCAGACTCCAGCGACAAAGACTTCAGACTTGACTTGGACTCCGAGTGAAAGACTTGTTAGCATCTTAGACTTAAGACTTAAAATTAGAAACTACGGTATGCCAACATACCGTATACCATAACAGAATATATCTGACATGGCTTTCAGGCACTGATTTCTGTAACATCAAGTGGATTTTTCAAAAATAAACTTTCTTCTTAGCTGCTGATCAGGGTGAGAATTCCTAGCATTTCATTAAAAAACTGCATTTCGTTAAAAAAAATCAATATTGCAGCATTATTGAATTTACAAAGTATTAAAAACTATTTTAAACATCTATTTAAAATGTGATATCAAATGAAACTTTTTAAATTCACAAAATGAATAAACACATTTGACCAACATGGTTCAATAAGGTCTTGTAGAGACCTAGTAGATTCTCAAATATCAGAAAAAAATTGAAATGCAATTTTCAAACTGATAGTTGGTTGTCCTTCAAACAACAACACGATAACACACAGAAGCAGTCTGAGTAAAAGATTGTTTGAAAAGTTTAACTGACCTGCTGGTTTGGCAGTAATTATGGACATGCTGCTATAAGCATAATGAATACAAAAACATTTATCTGAATCGATATGCCCACACGACAGAGACAAAGCAATTCTCTAATATAATATAACTCATTATAACAAATATTTTCACATTTGTCATAATAAACCGACCAGATGCCCAAGGACTGGCAAGCAGAATAATAAACGTACAGATTGATGTTCTCAGATAATGGGAGGAAACTAATTTTACTGTCACTTAATGGCCAAATATGGGCGTTTCCCATACTGTCAATATAAATATTGCAGCTACCAGAAATCTCCAAATTCCAGAAAAAGGAATTATTGCATAAAAGAGGTGATATTGGCTGTCTCTCAAAACACAGTGAGCTGTCTATATAATCAGCATATGACGCCCAAAAATGTTGTCAAGGTAGGGAGCTAACTAGGTTTTCAGTCTCAGCCCGTTTAAACGCTGCAAACGTGCCTACGATGCCCAAAAATATTGTCTGGGTGGGCAACACACTTGCTTTTGAGACACAGCCATTATGCATTGGGCCTAGTTTGAAACTGTGGCAGCTCAGGCCCGTTTCCTCCTCCAAACACAATCAGAGTTACAACAGGTTTATCTATGTAACCAGCCATGCCTAAAATGTTATTAAAGCTCTGGGGCCTCACTTCACACCGTTTTGTAATATACAATATTATTTTATAACTCAAAAGCAAGAGTGAACGTGAATGTAAATACAGCAACAGAAACTTGCTAACGGCTAACAGCTGGACACCAGCAATACACAATCAGCTCGTGACAGCGAATTAAAAGCTATTAAAACATCAAAACACCCCTTTTAATTATACAACAAGCCCATATTATAATTCACAACTTGGTAAAAACGAAAAAAGATCAACTAGTGCCAAAAACAACCGACCTGCCCACGTCAAAACCACTTGTTTAGCCACAAATCAACCACCTCAAACTAACCTGCCGTTAAATGCTATTTAGCTTGAATAGATAATAAAAGCGGATATGCGGGTAAAACGTGAGTTTATAAATAGCCTATATAAGAGATGCCAAATATCCAGACGTCTTTAAAATCGCTCATTGAGCTGTTCGAGCTAAGCTAAGTGAGCACTGACTTGCAAATCATCTGCTATTAGCCGCTAGCTTCCTTTAGCTTCGTACACAAACCCACTTACCCACAATCAAACTGGATCTTTCCTCCATACGACCCCAGATTGGATCATTTAAATGCTGTTTAATAATTACTCAGCCGCGTGCATGTGCCTGGATGTCCCGATTATGAATAACACGCCTGTGTTGAGAACAGGTCATTGGTTTATTGTCTGCTGTTGGGTGTTTTTCCTGCGTCACCAGCATCGACCGCTGCTGCCCCCCTCCCTTAAACTGCCTTCAGCCACTCTCTCTCTCTCCTGTGTCAGGCTGCTTAGAGACCCGTCACCGTGCTATAGGATGGAAGTAAATGAGAAGTGTATATCCGTGCATTAACTGCCTGGACGTGTGACTCAGCTGAGCATGCGCGGTTTCGAGGACTGCTCGCCTACCTAACACCTGATTTAGTGACATTCAAAAGCGTAGTACCGTTCTTCTTATAACAAAATTAACGTTGTTGATTCTCTTGAACACATTTATACTAGAAATGTTGCTTAAAAACCTTTGTTTAGTCATAAAGTTGTAATTTTGGGACAAAGAATACAAAATAAAGAATTCACTTCGTATTAATAACAAGTAATTCTCTTAATAAATTATTTGTCTGGCTTTAAATGTCTCAACAAAATTTACATTGAATATATTATACTTTTTTTAATTACAAAAGTTTCTGGAATAATTTGGAAAAGTATATTTTAAGAGTGTAAAAATGGGTGTACTGTATTTTAAAGATGTATTAAAGAAATGTTATTAATAATAGGCTATGATAAATTGGTAATAAAATATAGTTAAATTCCAGGATAAATACCATAAACATAGAAATAGACACTTTGCAAACTGAATTTATCACTTTTTGGAAATAATGTTTGCTTGTACAAACACCACATCTATATATACAGTGGTGTGAAAAAGTGTTGGATTTCTTATTTTTTTGCACGTTTGTCACACTTTAATGTTTCAGATCATCAAACAAATTTAAATATTAGTCAAAGATAAGTATAATGTACTATATATATAGTGATAACAGACATCATGCACATACCTATTTGCACACTCACCATGAGCTAAAGGAAAGTAGTGTTCTAAGCAGGCAACATGAGCATTGTCTAGGAGAAAAACCAGTTGCAACCAGTTTACACCTTTTCCTGCATGCTTGAAAGACTGGGTGATGTCTTTCATGAAAGCCAGTGCATTAGAAACAACATAAACCCACGGAGTGTGACATACTGTACATGGATCGCACTTTAAAATCTCAACATTTTAATGCTGGCTGTCTCGACACCTGCCAAAGAATGATATTTTCTAAATAGATGACATGTAATCAGGGCTGTAACTGAAACAATAGGTATTACCCTTAATAGATGTTTTTAACAGTAGTTATGATACATGGTTGTCACATGACCTCAACACGTGAGTGGAATAAAGCAATCAGGTTGGAAATAAAAGCTGTTCTTTTTCATTTTATATGAAAATTTCTGGCAGTCTGATAAAATAAGTTAAAAAAAAGTTAAAATTAGCAGCTGCCTGTAATGGCTTATTTTTCATCTAAATAAACGGACAAGTTAAGGTTTGCATTGTGGGATACAGTATATTGTACAGTGCTGCTGTGTACATTGTATAATGCATATTATAACAAATGCCGTACCAAACAATTCTGTATACATGCTGTACACATACATACTGTAAAATAAGAGAAGTATATTAGTATTCTATTCCGAACCCAATCCACTTTATAGACCAGGGCTCACCAAACTCGGTTCTGGAGGGCCAGTGTCCTGCAGAGTTTAGTTCCAATCTTAATCAAACACACCTGAACCAGTTAATCAAGCTCTTACTAAGGGTGTAGGCTATTCACACCTGTCTTGTTTGGTTCGATTGAATCAAACTCAAGTTCGCTTCCCCCTTTGGTGCGGATCTTTTGGGCAGGTGTGAATACAGCAATTGCACTTGGGTGCGGCCCAAACAACCGTACTGAGACCCAGCTGAAGAGGCTTCCAAATGAACTCTGGTACGGTTGAATGGATGAACCAGTGAATGGATGACCTTAGCACACATGTTGTTTTGTTTACAATTTCTGGTTCACTTGCAAAAAGAGCAGTGTGAAAGCAAACTGCACCAAACTTTCCTGGTGTGAATACACCCTAAGTATACTTGAAACTAGGCAGGTGTGTTTAGGCAAATTGGAGCTAAACTCTGCAGGACACCGGCCCTCCAGGACCGAGTTTGGTGACCCCAGTTGTAGACCAAAGCATTAATAAACATCCTTTATGACAACCGTTTGCTTTAAAAGAAAAAGTGCAGTTGTTTCAACTAAATTCTAGCCTACTACAATGACCTGGATGAATGAAATGCTTCATGGACAGGCCACCTGAATAACATGAGTCACTCAGCTGGACAATCTCTGCTTGAATAGAGCTTGACCCCTACAATCCATCAGTGACATGCATTCAACTGATTGGTCACTCAAAGGTTTTTTTGTGGTGCAGAGAAAACCCCAATGCCTGGCAAAGTGTGGATGCAGGTTCTTGTGTAGTGTAAAGAATGGAAAAGGCTGAACTTTAGTCACCTGATCTAAAGAGGAAAGCACCTTCAGTACCAAGTCTGGGTAGGAAAGACTGGGTGATGTCTTTCATGAAAGCCAGTGCATTAGAAACAACATAAACCCACGGAGTGTGACATACTGTACATGGATCGCACTTTAAAATCTCAACATTTTAATGCTGGCTGTCTCGACACATGCCAAAGAATGATATTTTCTAAATAGATGAATGTACAGCGCTCTCTCCCACCTTCAATACCACGTCTGAGGTGCCCTTGAGCAAGGCACCGTGGGTACATGTCGCTGATGAACTCACTTGACATCAACGCTGCTTTAAATATTCAAGATGAAAACTGAAATATTGTAACTCCATATATTCTATTCAAGCGCTTTTATAGCAACAGATCAACAGCGAACGCGTTAGTTGTCGTGCATGTAAATGTGTGTATTGGGACATTATTCCAGACCATTTGTGGGGTTTTTTCCGTACGGTAAGCAGAGATCGAGGCACCTAGTATACTGCCTCGTATCTCATATCTAGCTAACCACCAAACTATTCTAGCAGACAGTACGATGCTAAGCCATATTCTGATTCAACTGCTCACCGCTTAACAACGCCGACATGACAAAACTGTATGATCTTTGGAACAATAATGTAATATTTTGATGTTTCACTGAAACACCAGATGTCACTGTGGTTCCATGTTCTAGACTAGTGTTTCTCAACGCATTTCCAAGACTCTAGTTTTGGAGGACCGAAAAAAGTGCCACCAAAGCAGTATTTCCACCTAGTTTTAACTATTTAAAGGGGTCCTATTATGCTCTTTTTAGTTGGAAATGTGAAATGTGCTGTGATTGGTTAGCTGGGCCAGTGTGTGCTGTGATTCTAATTCCTAGTATGGGTAACCATACTTGGCCACATGTCACTTCACTTCATGTAATCAGGGCTGTAACTGAAACAATAGGTATTACCCTTAATAGATGTTTTTAACAGTAGTTATGATACATGGTTGTCACATGACCTCAACACGTGAGTGGAATAAAGCAATCAGGTTGGAAATAAAAGCAGTTCTTTTTCATTTTATGTGAAAATTTCTGGCAGTCTGATAAAATAAGTAAAAAAAAAAGTTAAAATTAGCAGCTGCCTGTAATGGCTTATTTTTCATCTAAATAAACGGACAAGTTAAGGTTTGCATTGTGGGATACAGTATTTTGTACAGTGCTGCTGTGTACATTGTATAATGCATATTATAACAAATGCCGTACCAAACAATTCTGTATACATGCTGTACACATACATACTGTAAAATAAGAGAAGTATATTAGTATTCAATTCCAAACCCAATCCACTTTATAGACCAGGGCTCACCAAACTCGGTTCTGGAGGGCCAGTGTCCTGCAGAGTTTAGTTCCAATCTTAATCAAACACACCTGAACCAGTTAATCAAGCTCTTACTAAGGGTGTAGGCTATTCACACCTGTCTTGTTTGGTTCGATTGAATCAAACTCAAGTTCGCTTCCCCCTTTGGTGTGGATAGCTGGGCCAGTGTGTGTTGTGATTGGCACCACTCTGCGCCTGGTCGGGAAACGTCATGCCCCTTACCATTACTGCTAGCTTCTGTGTAAATATTGCGTCAATATAAAAATCAATTGGAGCAAGATTTAAACCCGGATGATTGTAACCACTCTAAGTTCATCTGCCTTGGGAAAGCTAGCGTGTCTCCGACATAGTGATAACACTCGTTGCCTTCTCTAGTGCAGCTCAACCAGGTCTCGTCCCATTCGTCGATATTTGTGATATCACAAATCCCGGAAAATATGCGTTGTAGTCCAAACGAGTCATTCGTTGTAGTTTTTTAAAAATATCTCCTTTTGAAGTGGACTTTGAGCTTTGTAACTTTACAGATCTTTTTTATGCTCAAACAGCAACATTACAGACTAATTAAAGTTGAAAAAGTGAAAAAGCATAATAGGACCCCTTTAAGAGTTTTAGAGGTTTTTAAAGGTTTAGTACACCCAAATACTACTTTCTTTATTGCAATTAAACCTGGTTCCTAGGAATGTTGAGTAATTATTGGGTCTAAGTAGCATAATATAATAACTCAAGTAAAATAAACAAGGAATCATGGTATAGTCTTTTCAGTCACTAGATCAACCACATTTTCAAGTACAGAGGGAAGACACAAGAATGACTCTGGGGGTAGATTTAAGATTGTGTATATTTGATAAAATAATATATTACAACAGTTGAACTTGAACACACACAAAAACAAATTTGTTCATGACGTGAACCACATAGAAATAACTTCATGGATAACGTATTCACTGACTCCTAAGAGAGAGAAGTGAATGAAATAAGGAACATTTAGTTGAACATGTTCAACTCTCTAATTTTAAATTTCATATTTAAAAGATCTTAGTGACCACAGAGCGCACACACATATACGATACAAAAATAATTATATCAATCTTCATACCAATTAATGTTCATAATACGGTTATTGCATACTGTTCAAAGATTTGGACATTTTTTATTTTGATGTTGTGGGAACAAAGGTTCTTGAAACATTCATGTCAATAAAGCCCATCTGAACTGAGAAAAAAAATAATAGAGAGAGATGCAAGAAATCTGAATAGAAATAACATATTATTGACATGACTTTTCCTGACCTTTAAATATTTAAAGCACACATTGTGATGTATGCAGCAGCACTACCTACCACCTGGATGCTCTCCCCTCTTTTCTCAATTGTTTCTCTATCACCCTATTAAATTCTTCCACTTCACTGAAATAGTAAATGGAGAACATAATCACTGCTGCGTTAACAGAAATACTGTT